ACCTACGATGGGAAACACCAAAAGCTTGTAAGTTTGGTGGTGGAGGAATGTCGGCGTGTGCTTTCTCTACTGCCTGTGGGCTGTGTTGTCTAGTTATTGTTAATGGAACTTTGACAGCCCTCCGCTAACAAGAGATGCTAGAACACAGCTTGATCCCAAAGCTACCGATAAACAGAGGAGAATGGAAAAGATTGATTTTTCGGCAAAACTATACGAGTTGCCATTCTATGAACAAAACTGTTTCGTACCTCAGTGATGATTCTTCAAATTTAATGTGGTGGCCTGTCTTATATCCAAACTGCAATCCCCTAAAAAGGTTTGGCTAATTATGGTATTGGGGTGTGCACACATACATCACTTCATATACTACGACTGAGAAGCTGAAACAGGCTACGATGCATGTGAGAAAATTCTTCTGCGTACATTTTATACATTGCCAAACACAGTGGCATTTTCAGGCTTTGAAAGGAAAACGTGCACTCATAGAATTTTAACTTCTGGTTAAATAATATTTGCTTAATAAAGATATTAATATTTGTAATGCGTTCGTAATTGCTGAAGCTATTTTGTTGTTTTTTCATGATTCATTTAAAATGAAAACAGTATCTTGGGGTGAATAATTAAAATTTACAGCCATGCAGAAAACAGCTTAAAATTAATTTCGAAACATTTCCTAAACGTCCATTTTTCAAAACTTCCTCTAAATTTTGTTTTCAAGTTTCTGTGTGTTGTAGTGTAAGGAATAACGGCTTGGAATGCGAAATCGGAGATCCGAGTTCGAATTCAGGTCTAATTCGTTACGTTCACAAATACCCTTGAGAAGGCTATGTATCCATCACTTCCGCCCATCTCTGGGGTGAATAACAGGACAGACTGGCTCCGATTGCCTTGGTTTGCAACCAGTCCATTGCAGAAAGAAATGGCAAACCACTGTGAAAAACCGTCAGTCATGATCGCCCACTTAAGTGCATCGCGTATGGCATTTAACTGACGGGGTGTTCTTGTAATTTCTGGATAATGACTGTATGCCTTGTATATGGGTAATAAATTCAAAACTAAATTACACCACATCTCAGTAGGTAATCATGGAACTATAATGGATACTTCAGGGCCTTTCAGAACAATGTGAAGAGGCGGCACTCCGCTCTTCTCCCGCCAATATGCGACAGATTATATTGAATTATATGATGCTAACATTGGGAATAATGTCTATATTTAGAGATAAATTCATACCACCCTCTCCAACTCTTTCTCTCTCTCTCTCTCTCGCTCTCTCGCTATATATATATATATATATATATATATATATATATATATAAGCATTTCACCCCAAGCAAGGCTGAAAGCCACTAGGATTTGGAGCGAGAGCAGATAGGAGTGACAGAGGAAAGGAAGACGAGAAGGATAGTGGATAGGTCAAGGCAGCTGGAGATGTCTATTGGCATTATATTTGAATAGTTGGAGATTATAGCTATCAGGGAAACAGAAAAAGGGAAGGGAGTTCCACAGGCGAGAGGTGCGAGATATGAAGCTATCGGAGTAGACGAGACGGCTACATTTAAGAGTTTTAACAGTGAAAGGGTGGGAGCGGGATGCCAGCCTCGTAGGACGCTTGAATTCATGAAGCCTGAGAACCAGTGAAAGCAGCTCATCGGAGCAATTACCATGAAAGTATTTGTAAAAAAAACAAAGAGAGGCGACGGCACGTCTGTGAGAGAGCGACTGCAGACGAGATGCCAGATCAGGGACAATATCCGTCTCTGGATCTTATCAAGATCCCCCAGGAAAACAGAAGGGGCTCCAGACCATATATGGCAGCAATACTCCATGCAAGGGCGAATGGTTGATTTGTAGATTTGAAGGATCGATTCCGGGGAGAAAAATTTCCTGGCGCGGCACAGGGAGCCAACTTTCCTTGCGGTGGACGAAGCAATTCACTCAATGCATTTGTTCCATCTTAGGACAGCAGACAACGTGAGACCGAGCAGCCGCAGGGAGGTGCTCTCGAGAAGTTGAGCGGCAAACATTCTAAGGGGGCAAGGAAGGATCTCTGTGGTGATTAACAGAAATCAGTTTTGTTTTTGAGGCGTTAACACACACACACACACACACACACATATATATATATATATATATATTTGTGCATGTGGGTGTGTGTTCAAAATTTCTTACATTGATAGGGGAAGAAGCAAAATGTCGGAGACAGGGCGTTTGTAGCTATAACAGTGTGACCATGAAATTAACAGTCAAGGGTTGATAGCGACTGTCTGTTTCAGTGTTGCATTAGTTTCATGATCGCACTGGGCAAGAAAGTGACACATTACACACACACACACACACACACACACACACATATATATATATATATATATATATATATATATATATATATATATATATATATATATATATATTCACATTATATTCAACCAAGAATATAACTTTAACGAACTGCCATTCTTAGATATATTCGTCAAAAATAGAAATAGCCATATTATCACAGATATCTACCACAAACCTACAGACACCCAACAATATGTTTTTAAGAGCCATCACCCAAAAAGCTATCTAAAATCCATTCCCTATTCACTAGCACGTAGAATTTGAAGTATAGTCGCTGAAAAACACCTTCGAAAAACCCTCCGAAAAGAATTACGTAAAACTCACAAACGAACGAGGACACGCCCATACCACTAACAAGTGTTTTGAAAAATACCTTTAGACCAGTTACGAAACCCAATGAAACGTAACAACGAACAAATTCTAGCATACGCCTCAAGATACAAGAACAATCCAGATCTATTTACAGAAATATCAAGAAACCTAGACATTTTACCATTCTTGTTTACTTAACAAGAATGATAAAATGAAAGATATACTAAAAAAAAACAAACAAAATAATCTAAAGCCAAACAAAAAAGCCAATCAAAAAACCTAAAACACATATTAACCTCATCCAAATATAGACAACACACAATACAAGGGATTACAAAATTCATCAAGAAAAGATGTGGGAATTGTAATATAATTATAGAGGGAAAATCCTATACTTTTGAAAACCCCACAACAATATTCAGAATAAAGTAAAACTAAAACTGTAACCTCAAAAATGTAATTTATGCACTCCGGTGCATACAGTGCAGCAAGCCTTATATCTCCCTACACAAAAGCAATATTAAATTACCAGACAACAGAAAATTCTTCGTGTCACAACGCAACCACAAATGCAACAAGGGTAAATTTAAAATTATGGTACTATATCAAACATACGATTACTCTTACCTCCAAATACAAGAAAAATGCTTCATAGACATATTTAAACCAGTACAAAACAAATTATAGCCCCCACACATAAACACACACCATATGCACATAGTGTCAAAAACAAAATCAATAGTCGGACCACACACACACATCATGTGTGTATATATATATAGGTTTCCTTATAATATATAATATGTATGGAGAACGAATATATACACAAATATTGGCAAAAGCAAATACACTATATATATATATATATATGTATATATATATATATATATATATATATATATATATATATACACACAAATAGGTTTTATAATAATATATATATGTATGGAAAATATATATATATATATATATATATATATATATATATATATATATATATATATATATATATATATACTGACAAACAAACACATGCACAATACATAAGAATAGAAGAAGAAAGACACCACGAAAAGATAAAGGAGCATAAAAGATACGAACAAAGATACTCCCCTCACTTTCCCTTTTTCTGACCAAGTTTAATTATTTTATTAAGAAGAACCAGAAGAACATTTTTCGACCAATCCAAGAAGGATTCAGATGACTACTACTACACACTAAGACAATGGTTACAAGATGTAACATAGGAAGAAAAAATTCATTTCTTTAAATATCTTGGACTGAACATTCTTCGCCTGAGGATCACACGACCCGAAACACGTGTAACGATATATAAGGAATAAAGTATGAAAATTTCCACATAATAATCCCAAAAAGTTTGCAGCTTTTTTCTCTCTTTAAAAAATATATATATATATATATATATATATATATATATATATATATATATATATATATATGTACTGACAACACCAATATACTACACCATGAAAATAATAAACCAAAACTTCAAATTATTGAGCCCCTCTATATCAAAATCAACCAACAATCACACAACAAAATTTATTAAGAATATAATAACATATTAAAATGCATATAACATTTTTATACTAATACCGTTTCAGAAATCTACCAATTCCTGGTCTGGTCCCTTATATTGAAACGCTTGTTTTGTAAAAAATGTACATAATAACAACGGATAATTTTTTTAAATAAATTACCAGAAAGCGTTACGCGTGTTTTCTTTTTAAATCACTATGACAACGGAATGCAGATTTTATCGCAGTTGGAATAAGTTTATCTTTGTAATTTACCCCTGGAGATTTTCTTAGAATACGTTGAAAGTACTTGGGTTGAAAAAAAAACAAAAAACTACGGTGCCTTCCTTAATGAATTTCATCTCAGCATCAAGAATCTGATTATACAACTGGAAAGGATCAGTATAAAAATAAGTAGACACACTATGTCTATATTAATCAATAAAACATGTTTGAATGAAGATACACTGTCTAAATATACATACATGTATAAATTGTTTAAAATTTGCCATGTTTATGGACTGAATTAGCTCAGTGTTGGAGAAAGAGTTTGTAAATTAAAACAGTGTGAACATAGAAATCATCACATGGTGGCTTTCAGTTTCATGCATCAATGCAATCTTCGAAACAGGTAATGTTATGTTGATTTGTATGTCCATAGACATTATATATATATATATATATATATATATATATATATATATATAAATTTATTTATTTAAACGTTGTTTTAATGGATACTCATATGTGAGTAGATGCTACTGCCCTTAATATTCGAGAAATGTTATAGATAGATAATGAACATTTTCAGATAGATAGATAGATAGATAAAATGGAAGAAGTGTGATATATTACTTCAAAGCGAGAAAAAAAATAGAAACGAATAATAAAAATCGATATTTTGACAAGAAACAAGTAATATGTTATCAATAATTCATGATCTATGTAATTTATGTTCACCACTAAATATAAATATATTGACAATGAAGGTGGTTTAAAAATATCTATTGCATGAGATACACGCTGTTTTTTTAGTATGTGTTAGGAGATTTAATAACATTTTAACTTCTTCGGAATCCTTCAATATCAAAGTAGGTCTGTTTTTAATTTTTATTTTATTTGACTTTATTTTATTATAATTTTCATTTCAATTTAGAACCAATTATATGACACATAAAAATAAACATTTTAAATGTTATCTTGTTCTACACTAACAACCATCAATTTCCCAAAATATATCAATACTTGATTTATAATGAGAAAACAGCTACATAGTGAGCTAGTTATCGAGAGATAGATAGATAGATAGATAGATAGATAGATAGATAGATAGATAGATAGATAGATCCAAATGTACACTAGGTGCTTTAAGAAATAACGGCTGAATAATAATTATGATTTTATAAACACGTCGGATTAGTCCCACTATGATGTTACTACTTTTACTCACATTATTTTGTGAAGATTGTTCCTTCCATATTTTTACTGACTAATACGAACAGGCGTGTAGATACTTTTCGAATTTAGTCTGGTTATCTTGTAATATATATTTGACCTGTGCTTTTGTGTAGCATTTAACGAGACTACACTGAAAAGATGTGTAAAAAGAGGTCAGTTCAGCGAACAGATTATATGTTTTTGAACATATCTGGAAGTGATTAGGTCCCAGTGAGACAAAAAATAGACATTTATTTTTCTTTTAAGTTAGATTTGTTTGAAGCTCGGGTCAAAATTAAGGTTGCTTTCGGGTTTTCTTCTTTTAGAAGGAAATTTCGTCTTCAAAACTTTACAGAAAAAAAAAAATTAACGAAGATTTTCGTATGAGACAGAAAATAGAGTCATTCACAAGTGAACTGTTAATCTGGTTGTTCCTTCATTATTCAGATAGTTAGCACCTATGTTAGGCTCTGTAATAGCTTACCTGTCTCCTACCCGCAAATTATCCTTGCCTCACCCCTGCCCCCAGACTCATGGTACAGAAACAGCAGAGTAAATCTTTGACTGTTTTTTTTAAAACTTCCAGTTAGAAAGAAAGAAAGAAAGAAAGAAAGAAAGAAAGAAAGAAAGAAAAGGTGTGGGGCAGATAAAAGAAAGATAAGGTATAAGTGAGGCAACGAACGAACGAACGAACGAAAGAAAGAAAGAAAGAAAGAAAGAAAGAAAGAAAGAAAGAAAGAAAGCGGGTGGTGGATGAAGCGATAATTCTCTCCTGTGTTTAACGCCTGTTTCATGTGAACGGTATAGTAATATGAAAAATATCACGCTGAAATGATTATTTTGAGTAATAAAAATTAGAAAAACCTTGTAATTTCCACAGATACCTTTCTACATGATTAGAGGAAATATATTAACTTCACACGTAGTGACGTAGCAATTATCTGATTAGAAAATGTAATCATTAGGGCGAGTTCAAATTCCAGCAGGAACTGTTACATTCACTTTGTGCCAATGTCTTTCAGGAACACATGAATTTATTTCTTCTTCCTCCCACTCCGGCTAACCTGTGGTAGGACATCCAATCTTGAAAAAAAAAAAACTCTGAATTCAAAATCGTGGAGAAGGCAGCGAGAAATCTCTCCTATATCTTTCCGCTGAAACAAATATGGCAGATGCTAAAGAAAAGAAAATTGTGGGCAGCCATGATCGCCTCCAACAAGGAAGGACATATTATTTAGGATAGAAAAATATTCACATATCATTTCTAACCACTCATGCTGGTCAGAAGGGAATATCAAGGATGTATTATTCGACAAGTGACTCTCATGCATTTTTACATCCTTCTCAATTCTGTCACAACGTTGATATATGCAGTGACCGCCTACAAATTCAAACGATCAGAGGGATAGAATCAGAGTTTGAAGTGGACAGTGTCAATATTTTGACCAAAGGTAAACAGAAGAAAATATTAACGTGTCCACAAGAACTTTCCAGGGTCTTTATTGGAAAAAGTTGGATTCGAGATCTACTTTCGAAAGCAAAGCGCACTGGGGACATCTGAACACGTGCGGATAGCTCAGCAGTAGAAAGAGATGCCAAAGTGGTCGGGTTTCGATCCCGGCTTGAAGCAATTCGCACTGATGATCTGTGATACAGCGAAACAAGTCTGTATCCGGATTATAAAAATACATATATATATATATATATATATATATATATATATATATATATATATATATATATATATAAAATAAAAATAGTGTTTCAGTGAAATTTATGGGGAAAAGGTACGCAATATACGTGATATAAAATTGGAAACTGAGGTCAACACCAAGCGGTTAATCTGTTTCATGCTTTGAAGAATTGCGTTCTAGCATGAAACACAGAATAGTTCTTGGAGACAAAACGAACTCCGAATTCAAAATCGTGTAGAAGGTAGCGTGAAACCACTCATATCTTTCCATAAAAACAAACCACTAAAATACACACACACACAAACACAAACACACACACATACACACATATATTATGTATATATATATATATATATATATATATATATATATATATATATAAGAAAAAACAGGAAGAAAAACTGAATCAGAAATAAAATCAAAGCTACTCGAGTTTTACTCTCGAATTGAAGGAACATCAGGCCAGGTTTAATTTTTGTCTTACATAGCTCGTCTTACTGGCCATATATATACACATATATATATATATATATATATATATATATATATATATATATATATATATATATATATATATGAGAGAAAAAAAAGTTTTAAATTAACACCTTAGAAATGACATGAATCCAACGACGGGTTGGTAGAATTGGTTACCAGCATTTGGTGACAGCTAGTCTAGGAGAAAAACAACTTTGAAATTTAAAAAGTAGAGAAGCCAATCAGGCGACTATCTTTCCCAAGAAATCATATTTCACTGATAGTAGTGAAAAGCCATCCGCAAGAAAAGATAATCTCCCACATTTCGAAGGAACTAAATCTAATAAAAGACATTTAAATGAAAAATGTTCAGCTGGTGTGAATCACCATTTAATCTATTTAAAAAAAAAAAAAAACGTTTTGGACATTGCTAAAATAAGAGAAAATTTTCAAGATTAAAATCAGTGGAATCCAAAAAGCGTGGACAGGGACAAATAACGTTTCTATTACCACTTCTTTACCTAGTGTAAATTATTTTCGTAGAAAATATAAATATACTTTTCACTTGAAATTATGAATAATTTATGTATTTCTGGATGCAGCTATGATATAAACCTGTCGATCAGTCCGCCCGTCAATTTCTGTATCATTCTTTCTTCTGATTACACACACACACACACACACACACACACACACACACACACACACACACATATACCTACGTGTGGTGTGTGACTTAAGAAGTTTCATTGGGTTGGTTATCCAACTCGTCGGCCACAAGATATAGCTTACTGTTTATTTTAAAAAATTATACAGTTGCTCACACATGTATACGGTCGCTAATATCTAGTTATCCCATTTACCTAACCCTATATCTATCTATCTATCTATATATATATATATATATATATATATATATATATATATATATATATATATATATATATGGCGTGTATATTGATAGTTAATATTCACGTACGCACATTTGTAATATAATGTGATGGCATCGTTTCTTTTGTCTATATTTTTTTTCATTTTATATTTAGGTAACATATATGAGCATAGAAAAGGTTTAGGAAATTATTTTTTTTTTACCTACTCTTCAGTGCATGCTATTAAATAGTTTTTCTTTTTTCTTTTTTTTGTTTTTTTACCTCAGCAAAAATTTCGCATCCGATGGACATTAATGAATTACGAGGTAGTGGAATGAATGTGTGAAGTCTTTTAGCTAGCTGACAAACACACACACACACACACACACACACACACACACATATATATATATATATATATATATATATATATATATATATATATATATATACGAATGTGGTATTTATTTATTTATATATATATATATATATATATATATATATATATATACATACATATATATATATATATATATATACGAATGTGATATATATATATATATATATATATATATATATATATATATATATATATATATATATGAATGTATTCAATATTGTTCACACCTGAGAAAGATTAACATACATCTCATGAACTTAATGTGTATGAACTGGAGTGTCTTTGTAATTAATAGTTGTCAAACAAGGAAAAAACTTCATGATGTTGTGAATTGGACCGGTCATATGAGGTTGAATTTATAAGAAATATAACTATATATATATATATATATATATATATATATATATATATATATATATATATATATATATATATATATATATATCAAATATGACAAACTGGGCAGTTTTTTGTGATCCCTTACATCCGTTAGCATTTCATCGGACTGGGCTTTGTTGACGTTGTCACGTATAAAACATACACATAAAACGAGAGACGCGGGCAATTTCAAAAGTTTATTTATTTTATTTTCAATCTCTTTTCTTGATATATATATATATATATATATATATATATATATATATATATATATATATATATATATATATATATGTATGTATGTAAAGCTCTCGTCTGTTCCATTAAGCACTATTGAGAAAAAGATAATAACCAAAATCATAGCCTTTACCGCTGTTAACGCTCAGCTCTTCATTAATAAATCGAGCACTGTCGGCGGCTGGCGTTTGTTTACATCCGTATAAAATACGTTGAAACTTCCCTTTCTCTTATCCGATTGACGCCAGATCGGTAGCGTTTCGATCTCGGCTTGAAGCAACCGGATGTCTAGCCACAACGATGAATATATGTATAGTTGTATGCATATATATGCATATATATGTATACATGAGTGTATGCTTTTTTACATATATATATATAAATCTAATGGAAGGATAGAAAATTTTTTTGATTACCCTTTAATCTTACTTTCTCTTTAAATAACTTCTAATTAGACTTCTAATTAGATTGGAAATTTTTCTCATCTGGAGATAATCTCATTTTAAATTGATTACTTAGATTTAAATTAAAATATGTTACTCCTTAACCATTAGTCATGATGTTAAAAATATTAAAATTGAAAATATTTGTTCTTTTTTTTTAATTTAAACACTTAATTTCCCAACTAACGTTAACTGTAAAATTTAAATATGTATAAATAGGATGTGTGTGGAGATATGTCAATGTATATGTAAGTATTTGTATATGTATATGCATATATAGCGATGCATATCGATACATATGTATGCTGTTATATGTGTAATTACACATGTACATGAATGTATGTGTATTTGTTTTTTACGTAAATATGTATGTGGTGTATGTATGAAAAAACAGTAATTTATTACTATTACTTTCAAATCTTACTCCATCTTGATTTCAAACCTAAGCTTTAATTAAGATATATTACCCATCTAAAAATAGCTACAAATTAAATTCATGAATTAGACTCTAACTGATAATGATTTTACCTTAACAGTCATTCATAATATTAAAATATTACTATTAGTAATTTTTTTATTATTGTTGTTTCTTAATATAGTATTCGACTTATATTCGACTTATATTAAATCCCTAATTTATTTTTGAAGAAGTTGAATATTTAAATTGCTAACAAGCATTAAATTTATTTTATCTGTGGAGTTTTTAAACATTTAAATTACTATCAAACGTTAAAATCTGTTTTTATCTAAATTGCTAAAGCTATACCACCCCTCTTCTTCCTGCAAAAACACTATATAGATCTCTTATCTCTTTAATTCCCCCTTCTTTCTTTTTCCTTTTTTCTCCTTTTCCTTTTCCCATATCATTTCCGTTGAGTTGAGTTGACTGATTCACTAGGTCAATGTCTGATCCTTACCGCCTCCTTCCTCATATTAAGTATTATAATATAGAGAAATATAAAAATAAATTTTAAAACTCTCTCTTCCCTCTCTAAACTAGACCATGTCTCTCATGCCATCCCTCACCACCCTCTATGTCAACTTATATAAGCTTAATACTGCCCGTCAAAAGTGTAAATTTTAAATTCATTTTTCGTTTCACCTTTTGAAAGTGAAGCCTGAAGATCCAGAGAAAAAATAAAATTCTCTAGTGAAATAAATTATTACAATGGAGCCTTAAATTGGTCTGTTTATCTTTAAATTAATATATATATATATATATATATATATATATATATAGAGAGAGAGAGAGAGAGAGGACAAAGAGAGAGACAGACAGACAGAGATAGATAGATAGATAGATAGAGAGAGAGAGAGAGAGAGAGAGAGAGAGAGAGGGATAAAGAGAGATAGTAATATGTCTATGTAGAAAATAAAATTTGTTAAATACGACAGACATTTTAAACTACAAACCAGCTGGTTAATAACACTTGTGCATGTATATGCATATATAGCAATGTATATCGATATATATTTATGTGGTTATATGTGTAATTGCACATGAATGTATGTGTATGTATTTTTAAATATATTTACTAGATTGATTGATTTGTTTTTTACGGCTTATCAACTTTCTGCAGGTTATTTAAAGCAGAATATAAGAATCTTTTGGAGATCATGAAGTTTACAGCACCTGGTATTCCTAAGCGGTCACCCATTTGTTACTAACCAGGCTCGACGTTGCTTTACTTCGGCGACCGTAAGTGAAGCGGTGTTTCAACATAATATTTACTCGAAATAGGAACAAAAATAATGTGAACGATGTAAACAGAGTCTAGAAAAAACTAGGATTTGCATATATTAAATGAGATGTACATTGCAACAAACACTCTATGGTAGATAGATAGATAGATAGATAGATAGATAGATAGATAGATAGATAGATGTGAAAAGACAGACAGATAGATAGATAGATGTGAAAAGACAGACAGACAGATAGATATGAAAAGACAGACAGACAGATAGATAGATAGATAGATAGATAGATAGATAGATAGATAGATAGATAGATAGATAGATGTGAAAAGACTGAGATTGCTGTATATGAAGAGCCAGAAAAAGACGGATCAAGAGAGAATGTTTCTGATACATGAATCAAATTATACTTGGAATTTCTTCTTAGTTAATAATAATAATAATAATAATAATAATAATAATAATAATAATAATAATAATAATAATTAACATTCGAATTAGGGATAATAAAACGAAAGAAAAGAAGAGAAAGAAAAAAACATAGAAAAATACAGACCATTATAAAATCTATCAGAATAGAAAAAGCACTTATGTGTAGGAATAAAATTACATTATTAACGAAAACATGGTAAAATGGAAGCGTCGTTGTCAAATGTGATGAATGAATGAATAAATGTTGCGGACGTCTCAGATTAATACAGAAAAAGAAATGAATAAATGAATGAATGACAGAATGAATGACGGAATGAATGAATGAGTAGTAAACGCAGCAAAAGAGTGATGAGAAAACGAACGAATATAGCATAGATGGAAAGAGGTGAGCAATAAAGGAATGAAAGATCGAAAGAAGGCATTTGAACAGACCTTAGCAGAGATGTGATGTGTGGGTGTGTTAATAAGTTCAAATTATAAAAGAGTAACTGAAACAAAAGGACAAGGAAAGAGGAAAAGAAAAAGATTATTGACGGATTTTGTAGAATAATATTTTAGATAGATAGATAGATAGATAGATAGATAGATAGATAGTGTTTATGAATCAGCATTTGTGCATATAGCCATGAAAATGTGTATTTTCTTTGCAAAACCTAAGTAGCATTTTCAGAAATTAAAAAAAAAAGCAAAAAAAAAAAAAAATCACGGAACTATCCATAAATGGAAGACATCCTTACTGGCTTTGCAGTGAAAGCTTCAAACGTTTGCTACATCCAACAGATTTCTTTAACAAGTCTACAGCTAATTCCAATTAGTTATAATTACTCTGACCACGATTTTCCTTACTTTTCCATCATATTACAATTTAAATAAAAAAATGAAGAATGCCATTAAAAATGAGGAATGTTGCTTTCACTGTGCACAAGTGTTATAAACCAGCTGGTTTGTAGTTCGAACTCACGAACAAGTCTTTCGGAAACCCACGGTTAGACGCACCTGATACATATATCAATAAATATTTCCAGCGAAAAACACTTTCCCTAAAAATCAACTAACGCAATAAACCTTAGATTAACTACAAGAAACAACAACAAAAACGACACAATAGAATAATAATAATAATAATAAGAAGAAGAAGAAGAAGAAGAAGAAGAATGATAATCTGACAGTAAACTGAGAAAGTTGTAGAACATGATTGTAAAAGTCGTGCTAATAGTTATCAGAAAACTATAACAGTCCCGAAGAGCTTGGAAAAAATGCTGAAGAAACTGGAAATCAAGAAATCCGAACGAGAATTTTGTTGAAGACAATTCTAATTCTAAGAAGAGACATGTAGTATTTATGATGAGACTTGCTGCCACTTATTGTCCAGTGTAAGCCACCAGTTACTACTTGTGTGAACATTCGATGAACAATAATTACTTCCGATCTTAATTGACGAAAGGTCTTAACATGTGCATGTTTTGATTTGGTTAATGAACAGGGGCCATATGCAGATATTTCTGAACACCCTCAATCGGTGACCGTTTGAGAGGACTTTGTTACTCGACCTGAAAGTATTTCTAACTGGATCCACCTGCTAAATCATGCGCTGCTTTTATCAGAACCTGTCACCATAACGCGCACATTTGGTTGTGATACATGAGCCTAGTATATACTTATCAATTTGGGTGTTATGATGGTTATATTGGGCCTTTTATATTTGTATCCCGGCGTCAATTTGTTAGTGGGCTCTCACTCAATAATAATAATAACAATAATAATAATAATAATAATAATAATTATTATTATTATTATTATTATTATTATTATTTCCTTTGATTTCTGGCGTGTACATATTTCTTTCCGGGTCTCGCCTAGAGACTTAAGTTTAGAAATAGCATCATGACACTTTCCTCTGACAATATATATATATATAAAAGCCCACCGTAAAGTCTGGGCTGTACTTGTGAGAAATTTTTTGTATTTCTTTGAGGCATGGGAATAATAATAATAATAATAATAATAATAATAATAATAATAATAATTATTATTATTATTATTATTATTATTATTATTATTATTATTATTAACATAGCAGTCCCTGCAGAATGCCACGTATCTTTAAAGATTTTCAAAAAACTATCAAAATACAAAGACCTTGAAATGGAAATCTCAAAAATGTGGCATATGAGACATCAACAATTCCAGTTGTAGTTGCAGCCCTCGGATTGATTGAAAAAAAGTTCCAATAGACTCACTGAAGGGATTCATGGTAGTCCATGACTTAAAGAAATACAAGATAAAATGTTCTCGCAAGTACAGCCCACATCTTACGAAAGGCTTTATCGAAGTAAAATATGTGCAATGTTTTTTTTTTTCAAAACTGCTCAGTGGAAAATGTCATGATGCCATTTCTGACCTTAGATCTCTGGTCGGGACCCGGAAAGAAATAAGTATACATACACCAGAAACCAAAAGAAATAATAAAAATAATAATAATAATAATAATAATAATAATAATAATATGAAAATACCAATCATAAAATCCACGAATATAGTAAATTATGACCTAAAGTTTAAAATATAGATATGATTAGTTGGAAATGAACATCTACAAGGAACTGTGCAAATAATTGACTTGGCAGACTGGTGGTACATTCATAAGCCAGGATTTAACTTTCCTAGAAAATAAGACATTAAAGTCCATGGAACTCTGGAATTCAAATAGATTCCTAGACGAGAGGACTAGTTTCCGTCATTGTGAATAAAGAAAAGAAGATATGTCAAGTAGTGGATGCCGCTGTTGCAGCAGTCTAGCGAATGAAATTAGAAAAAATTGAAAAGTTGGATAGAGATCTACCGCGTAAGAAAATCTAAAAAAAAAAGAAAAAAGAATTACAGTATATGTCTACTGTATCGGTAAATTTGTATGACACTTGGGACATTCCTAACGCTCCTTACAAAGAGATCGGAAGAACTGAGAATCCTAAGTATGGATCGAAACTATCCAGGTGAACAATATTACTAAAAACATTGATAACACATAGAAAAGTGCTGCATACTGAGGAGCTTTGCTGTCACTTGAGCCCCAGTGATGGAACTGCCGGGTGGCCTGTGTAATTTACTAGATACCGATAGTTCGAAGACTCAAGAAAAATTTGAAAAAAACTCTCCTAGATACTGAAGAATAGCATGAAACAGTCATGCCTATAATAAAAGGATCACTTGGAAGAGGCCCTCCAGAAGTGGGACTGGAGGAAGTGAAGATTTTAGTAAAAACTGGTCACGACAATGGGGTTGGAGAGATATTTAGGAAGGGGCTGGCGACCTGCTGCTACTGGATCTCCAATAATAATAATAATAATAATAATAATAATGAAAGTTATAGGAACGCGAGGAATGGGTTAGAAGAATACTAATAGACAGCTTAAGAAAATCACAGGAAATCCATTTTTATCAGAAATACAGAACATGCTCTTAATCAGTACTGCTCACATAGAAATATTCTTTCCTAAGAAAAAACCGCCATTTGCATTTAGCTTTCAGGTGAAATACTTGCTAAATGATTGTATCAAATAGCAAATCAAACGATAATATTGATAATAAATACTTCATGAGAAAAACTTTCAATTTACCTTCGGAAATCATTGTGGCATATATGAAATTAAAAGAAACAAACAGCAAACAAGCAACAACAACAACAACAACAATAATACAACAACAATGATAATAATAATAAGACGGCTGCATGTTGTAATCGGAGATCCGACAAACGTTTGAGACGATAAAGACAACCGTACTATTAACTCACTGAAAATACAATTGAAAACGCTAGAGATCTTGAGAAAAATGTTGTCACTTGATACCCCTACGATGATCACTAAATTCCACTTGAGTGAAATTGAAAATAATAATAATAATAATAATAACAATAATAATAATAATAATAATAATAATAACCACAGATGTTCAAACAAGGTTTAACATTCGAGTGCCACTTTTTATACTTGAAGATTGCAAGTGATAGAATAGATGATTTTTTATTTTTGTTCTCGCAACGAAGAAGAATAGGTATAAATAAAACTGATATTAATGTGAAGGTAGTGCCCATGATGACTGGAGAACTGAAAATGGTCTCAAAAACGCTTACAATGAGTTTGATAGTAAAAAGAGATGCACATATACCGAAAGGATACAGAAGTCGGTACTATTGAGGTCGGCAAAAAATACTGCAGGAAATGATTTGAAAAGTATCGTTTTTGTTACTTGATCTCTGGCGATGATCTAACAATAACTTTGATAGATAATAATAATAATAATAATAATAATAATAATAATAATAATAATAATTATAATTATAATAATAATAATAATAATAATAAATGTTATATCAGTCCCCCACTAGGGACGGCCCCGAAAGGTCAGGGAAAAAGACTGGAGGAACTAATCAACTACACGGTTGTCATTTAAGCTCCAGTATCGGCCAACAAATCCTAGTGGTGGGAACGCTCAATAACAATAATAATAATAATAATAATAATAATAATAATAATAATAATAATTTGCAAACAGTACCAGAGAGTGTTTGATTGGAAATTCATCGAAGACAAAATACTCATAGAGTGAAATGAAAAAAAAAAACACCAAATTATCGGAAAATAATAGAAATTTGCAAGAAAGTAGTATAAACTGCAAAACAAGACAGCGTCTGTAGTATCCATAAACAATGGGGCACTCGGAACAATTAACAAAAAACGGAAAAAAATACTGAGGAGAGTATTGGAGCTGCTAAGAAGACTTGTTGCCACTTTGTCCCGTACGATAACCAACAGAAACCTCCGCTGTGAAAATATGAATAATAATAATAATAATAATAATAATAATAATAGTGGGTTATTGAGGACAGTGTCAGTTATTTGCTAGTGTAAACTATCAGTTACTATTGATGAGAGCATTCAATGAGGTAAATAGTAATAATAATAGTGCTGTAGTTTTAAGGTGAATTACATTTACTCAGCGATAATCATTAGACATCTGATGTGCACATGCAAATAATAATAATAATAATAATAATAATCAAGGATAGAAACATTAGATGGTTTAAATTTTAGTCGAGCAGTTCAGTGTAAAATATTAAAACAAATCAAGAAGAGATAAATATTAAAATATTTTCTTTTAAGTAATTAAATTAAAATAATGCGAAGTAAAAAGAGAGTGTCACCCTGGCATTTGTCAGATAAAGAAAAACGAGCACAAGCCAAATGCAGATAAGAACGACGCATGCCGAGGTATAAAAAAAATAAATAAAAAATCGAATAAAACAAATATCCTTTTCGGTGTGTCGAAGTCCTCACTCGTATAAAACTCGATTTATTGTAAATAATATTCATCAGGTAAGATAATGAAAGAAGTGAAAAAATACAGATGGTAGTGTCGGCCT